CATGTCCCCTGCGGGGCTCCGTAATTAATCCCTCCAGTATTAATAAATTCTCTGTGATTCTTTGATTCTCATATGCATAATAATGATAATCTTATATTTTCTCATGTTTAAACAACAGTAAACCAGAAGATCTATAGAGTTGTAATGTTTTTATTAAATTCAATAACATAATAATAATAATAATAAAACTGCTTTATTATTTATGTTTTATCTTTAAGAAAGCACTGAACTTGAGAGGCCATGGAGGACTGTCATCTGGGAATCTACGTAAGTCTGCCAGAGCCACCATTCTGCCTGATGGGTTATGCACAACAAGCAAGCTGCTATATTTGAATGTCATACTCTACAAAGTATTTAAGATTATGATAGCATCCATGCAAAATACTATGCAACACTGTTTCCCATGTTTACTTGCAACTGTGATTACCATGTTTTGTTTTCCCTGTACACTAAACATTACTGTCACAGTCAAAACAACTTCCGCAAAATGGAAAATTTATATATCTCATTATTTTGTACAGGAAGAGGACAGAACTGATTGAGAGCATTAAAAGCTACAAACCCACAGTCAGCTCTGTGACCCAGTCTCGAGTTTTGCTCATTGGACCAGTTGGAGCTGGAAAGTCCAGCTTATTTAACTCTGTCAACTCTGTATTCAGAGGCCACGTCACCAGCCAGGCCATATCTGGCTCCTCCTCCACCAGCCTCACCACACAGGTCTGTGTCTGCTGTCTGATGATTTCCACTTATTGTGACTGATTTCAGTGGTCTGTCACTCATTCTCATTGTACTGTAAACAGTTTCGCTCCTACTCTGTGAAAGCTGGGCGTGAAGGGAAACCTCTGCCAATAATCTTGTGTGATACCATGGGACTGGAGGAGAGCAAAGGGGCGGGGCTTGACATTGATGACCTCAGCAGCATCCTCAAAGGTCACCTGCCAGACTGTTATCAGGTGCTACATTACATCAGCGAGGTATTGAATGTATGAAACACTGATTTGTCAGCAGTCGACTCAAACTGTGTCTCTGTTTCTCCCGAAATGTGTCATTTAGTTCAACCCTTCAGCTCCTCTGCATCCTGAGGCCCACAGCTATCGCACATCTCCTGGACTTAAGGACAAGATCCACTGTGTGGTCTATGTTATTGATACCTGTAAGGTCTCCATCATGCCCACAGGACTGGAGGAGAAGCTAGACTCTATCCGCAGAAAGGTCAACTTATTGGGTCAGTACAACTGAGTCTCGCTTCTCTGCAACAAAGATATTTATACATGTGCAGTTACCAGTTTTTTCCCCGCATGGGGGAAAAATAGCCACACACTACTGAGCAACTGTCATGAGTTTGCAAAATGTGCGGACTCAGTCATGTGGACTGACAACCCCGATGCAGACAACACCAGCAGACAGGAATGAGCTTGATGCAAAATGAGACTTTATTGAGTCTGATTGCAAAAGTACAAAAATAAAGGCAAAAGTACAAAATGGGAACTGAAAGCTACATTGGAAAAACCACTAGGAAACTGACACAGACATTGAAGAAAGATAGAGGGAGATAGATAATATATACACTAAAGGGTGATTAGGGAAGTGGAGACACATGAGATGAACTGAATAACAACTGATGAGACAAAGGAAGTAAAACTTAAGACAACAGACGAGGGACATGAACTCACCAAAATAAAACAGGAAGCAGTGGAAGACAAGGACCAGGAGTTAAACACACTAACATGACAGAGACAACAGAGTAAACAAAGAGACAACTCACTTCATAAGGAGAAACAAAAAGATGAATCAGCAACAAATCAGAGGAAACAAGAAGGGAAATAACTAAATGGAAACAACAACTCAACAATGCACACATGAATAGACTATATACAAGGTAAATGATACAGGAAGATGGGTATAAATGGAGAAAAAACTAACTAAATATAAGAGAAGAAGAGTGACTGTCAAAATCTGACTAAAAGTACAGAATACAAAGATTCAGATTTCACTGAGTATATACAGGGGACACTTGGGAGGATGCACAGACAAGACTAAGACAAACTGGACATGAAAGGAAACAAAATTAAACAAAGCACTTGGAACTACAAACATGATTAACAAAACTACGAAACAGTGGAAATACTAAACTCAGCCTACGAGAGATTTCAGAGTTCAGAAGAATAAATGAAACGTAAACTTGATGACTCAAAGATGGTTAAACAGAACTTCAAAACTCAGACCCCACATAACTCTGGGCAAAAGACCCTGGACCATTACAGCAACTTTCAACTTCACTCCAGTTTATCTTTTATAGAAGAAGTAGAAGTGTTTCACATTTTTTATATAGTTAAAGTTTTCCTTTGCATTTCTTCACTTAAAATATTTTTACAAAGTGTTCCTGTGCCCATGCAGTGACTTCCACCACAGAATCGTGTAATGTTTTCAGGGTGATCTGAATCTCTAAATACCATTCACCATATTGGAAGTATTAAAGAAAGGCAACCTTAAAATTCTGATATTCCGCTAAAAATCCATCCAAACATCTAGATCATTTTGGAAATGATATTCCTGCTCACTTTGTTTCTAGGTATTCCTCAGCTGGTCCTCCTCACTAAAGTAGATGAAGCCTGCCCACTGGTGAAAGAGGATGTGAGAAACGTGTATAAGAGTGGCTACATAAAAGATGTGGTTAGGGTTTTTACCTTTTTTTAACCACTTTTTTTAGTTAGTAATAAACGTTTTATATGAGGGTAGTAATACTTTATTTTCTCGTGTTCTGTCATACAGATGCAGGAGATCAGCTCTCGGCTCGGGGTGCCGTTGTCCTGTGTTGTTCCAGTGAGGAACTACAGCGAGGAGCTGGAGTTGGACATGAATTGTGACATCCTGTTGCTCAGCGCCGTCATTCAGATGCTTCGCTTTGTTGATAATTACTTTGATGAGCTCAGTGACCGAATGAGCAACATACAAACCAAAGAGTAGGAATAATTTAGGAAGTACGTATAATAAGCTTTGCAAAGAATCCGATATCCCTCAAATTTGTTCATTTTCCTGCAGGTCATCCATAGAGTACTAGCTTATTTTGTTAATACATTTAGCTGGAGGGCAGGAATTATCCTCTTCCTTGAAGATCTATTTTGACAATCCAATATACTAGAGGATGCTGTGTCCCATGTAACCTGATGTCCATTTTCTGGCCTAAGAGAGTTGTTGCACTGGTCCTTAACTTTTGATTATGTACTTCACTGTAAAATGTCCAGTTTGCTGTCACTGAATGCTTTTACATTATCATCTTTAAGGCAGTTATTTATCATCATACATGTATTTTTCACCTTGGTTCATTTAGTAAGATATTTCATCACAATTTATATGTTCGACAAACTAAAACATTATGTTATCAACTACCGCATTATATTTTTCCAGATGCTACATTTTAGCATTGGGTGTTTGGACAGATTATTTTAAAGGACTGATACATGTATGTTTAGAAATTACTTTCAAAAATAACAATGTTGGAGTCCAGCATAGGAACAGTCCCTCCCTGTGTAACAGGACTGTGGTGTTACAACCAGCTGTAAACTACACAACATCCCTGTAACCTGCTTCACCAGATCCGACCCCATTGGTTTACTAGGGAAACCATGGGGTCAGATTAGACCCCATGGGTTCTCCAGGGTTAAATTGATATTTCTTGTTCACGTGGTTGCCTTTTCCGTTCCGTTCTGTGACAGTGTGCTTGAAACTGTGTAAAGAGTTCATAAAGGCAAAGAGTAAAGAGTGTTGGCTCTTTGCGTAAATTGTCTATTTGAGAGTAATTTGGAAAAACTGCAACTTAATGATACGTATTGTTGTCTTGAGATAATAAAGGTGATGTGAAACAGCAATGTTTATGCTTCTTTGTGAGATGACTCATGTTGTTGTATGAATACAAAACGACTTGGTTCTTGGGTCACTTGGTGTTCGCTCGCTCTGTGGTATAGTATC